CTGTCATTACCTTCCTATTCCTGCAAAGAAAGGGAAGCAGGAGTCCAAGTTCACTTATCACCTATGACACCAGCAAGGTCAAGGGCCTGGCTGTGCTTTTTGTCTTGCTATCCTTAACTGTCCTGTGACATTGAGGACCGTCATTGCCTGACCTGTAGACAACTCTGAAGTCAACAGATAGTAGAGAAAGTATCTAGCCAACAAAGTAGCTATCTATTGAACAAGGATGGATAATTAGCATCATGATGCAAACAGACAAAGGGTAGATGTGCCAGGTTCTCCTGCCTCAGTATACATGTCCTATCCCACGTGAGGCATGGACTGTGAGCAGCAACTTCTAATGAGCCTAATGCTATTCCTTAAGAGCGTACCTGCTTGAGAAAAGGTATATACAAAAGTCCAATTTTCTAACGCTTGTCTATTTTATATTTTTAAGCCTTACTGTACATAGTTTACAGTGATTTACTCTGTGGTTGGCACTGGGCTCTGTGACTTTAGCGAGAGTCTAATGTGCTTTAGAACTCATGCAAGAGGCTGGCAAGATGGGCTCTTGGGAGATAAAGGCACACCCTAAGTTCAGTCCCCAGAGTCCACAAAGCAGAAGACGAGAACCAACTCTAGCAAGTTGTAGTCTGACCTCCATGTGTGCACACTGTGGCATGTGTGCATGCACACCCAAGCACACGCATGTGCACCCCCCCACACACAAAATGCACACACACACACACACAAACTAAACAAGTAAATAAGAATTCACCCTACTTCCCAGACAGTACAATATATTGGTTTAACTCCATTTCTTTCCATGTTTTGTGATCTTTGCTATGGCTTTGTGCTAAACTAGTTAAAAATTCTCTAAGACTTTAGAGTTGATGCTCATGCTTTCTGGCAGTCAGTATCTACACTGTCCTTCTAGTGCTACTTATTCATGTCTGTATTTTCTTTCTTCTGTCTGTTGTCACTCATTCTCCTTCAGCCAGGAGACCTCAGTGTTGCCACTGTCTACCAGAGGTCAGAGGAGGGGTCCGATCCCTTTGAACTGATATTATGGGTGTTTGTGGGCCACCATGTGGGTGCTGGGAACTGTACACAGGTCCTCTGCAAGAGCTACAAGTGCTCCTAAGTGCTGAGTCATTGCTCCATCCCCAACTTGTTTTTCTTGTTCTTTTTTAATACTTGGCAGTATTTTCTTCTGTGTAATCCATATAACTGGTATAAGCTCTAGAAGACGTTTTTCTTCCATAAAGGATTTACTTTTATATTTGGCCGTACAGTTAGATGAGAGCCAAGTCACTTGAACAGATGCAATGCCGAGTTTTAGGCTGGGAGATGACTCAGTAAGGAAGAGTGTTCTCCATACAGGAAGGAGGACCTGAGTTCAAATCCCTAGCACACATGTAAAAAGCTAGACACAGCTGCAACTGTGACCCCAGGGCTAGGGAAGATGGAGACAGGAGGATTGCTGTGGTTTGCTGGCTGCCAGCTCCAGATACAGCGAGAGACATTATCTCAAAAGAAAAAGTGGAGAATGGTAGATCTGATACTGGGTATCCTCCTCTGGTCTCTGCATGCACCTCACAGACACGGGAGCACACAGTATACATACATATACCACACTTTCACATATATAGTTTTTTTTAAGGCCCAGTCTATTCCTGTTTCACTTTTACTTTTAGGATGTAACCCTTTGAGAGTCCCATCTAAAAGCCTATATGTGTTCCTAGGCCTCTTCTTGGCAGGCTCTGAACTCTGGCATTGTCTCCCTAGCCCCAAATGATGCTTCTAAAAGCTCAGCTCAGCTTCTTAGCTCCTAAATTCTTGATCTGCAGAGTTTCATCTGCACTCAGTTGGGCAGATGCCTCAAGAGCAAAGGAGGGCTGAAGGTCACTTCACACTCACCCTTTCTACATGCTTAGTCATACAAGTGCTTTAGTAACTCCCGATGCCCTGAGCTCACACTCACCCTTTCTACATGCTTAGCCATACAAGTGCTTTAGTAGCTCCCGATGCCCTGAGCAGATTTAAAGGAGAATTCCTTCATCCTCTTAGTAATTCTTAGTAGGACCGATATTCTGATATAAACTAAGCAGTCAGAGTTGGGAGCCTAGAATTTAAATTTTAAGAAATACTTTCATCCCAGCACTCGGGAGGCAGAGGCAGGTGGATCTCTGTGAGTTTGAGGCCAGCCTGGTCTACAAAGCGAGTTCCAGGACAGCCTCCAAGACAATACAGAGAAACCCTGTCTCAAAAAAATAAAATAAAATAAAAAACAAAACAACAAAAAAGAAATACTTTCACGCTGGTCAGTAGCAGCACACGCCTTTAATCCCAGCATTCAGGCAGGTGGATCTCTGTGGATCTCTGAGGCCAACCAGGTCTACAGAGCAAGTTCCAAGGCAGTCAGGGCAATACAGAGAAACCCTGTCTTTAGAAGGAAAGAAAAGGAAAGACTTCCAGCAGCCACACCGATTCCCCTAACCGGGGATATTTCTGAGTTTTTGGAATTCCCCAGTTCCATGGTTGATACTGACGCCAGGTCCTCAGCTGTGAAGTCAGTGGAGCTTGGTGAGGCCTGGGAAGTCCATGCAGCCACAGCAGCAGACTTCCTTCCACATCCCAGCATGCGCTGCCACTTTTGTTTGCTTGTGTATCTCCTCTGCTAGGCTGACAACCTCCGCTGCTTTTACCTTGTTACCCACAGTGTCCACACAGTGCTTGGCACTTGGTGGGATCTTCTGCAGGAGAATATTTATGGATACCCTCATACCCATTACATTCTCTCTAACAGTAGTTTGCAACTAGCAAGATTCCCCCTTACCCCATGTTTTAACATAATCAACATCTGTGGGTACCATGTATTGAATCCACAGGGGGACTTTGAAGTTCACTGAGTATGAGAGCCAGAGAGGCTAACAACATAATGCATTGTGGAAGGTCGACAAGGATTAAAAGGCGCTGCTAAACGTTCTGAGTTGAATAAAATAGCCAAGAGAGCAAATCAGGATTAATCCCGTACTCTTTTGAGATGCGATGTGTTCAGGCCAGGGCTCTAGTGCTGGCTCCAATACATTCATGTTTGTCCCTGTTTGTCATTTGGACTAGTTGAAGACCTGCATGGGACAATGTGGCACATTCATATTTTGCCATATTTTCAAAAGTTAATTGGATCCCTAGTGTCCTTTAGCTGTACAGTTAATGTATTTTTTAAAAATTTGAAGTCGATGTTGGTTTTTGTGTAAGTTAATGACTCGTTTTACTGACATGTGTCTGGTTCTCTTTCAGGTTTGTCTGCATTGTCTTGCTCGGAACCGCTCTTTTCCAGAGACTTCAGCCAACAGAATTGGACCCCTTTCCTAATTTTTTTGACCCAGAAACCTGTCCTCCCATGTGTAGAAGATGGAAATAAAGAATTCTGACCTGTATTCTCTCCAGTGACCTATTTCTAGCACACAGCTGCTTGCTTCTGTGTTTTTCCTGTCTGCCTTATGTAAAAGCCCATCATTTCCTAACTTTTCTTAGTCCCAATTATAGAAATTAAGAAAAACGTGCCTATAACAGGGGAACAGTTCAGTATTACAGATGGCAATGATAAGATTTAGACAGTAACAGGAGCAGCAGAAACTGAACTAGAACCCACTCCTTCAAAGGTAGTGTGAGCTTTCTCCAGTCTTGGGTCCAGGCCCGAGAAAGAACCTGTCAGAAGACTGAGTTCAGCGGCAGTAAAACAACCAGAAAATTCAAGGAGAAACGGCAAAGAATTAGGGTACATCTAAGGAGACAGGACTGTGGTGCTTCTTGGGGAAAACCACTAGGAGCAGATGCTGAGATGACCCAAGCATCACCGTCAGCAGACAATGACATTAAACAGCTATTATGAGTATGTCCAAGGATTTACGGGAGAATAAATACTCAGGAGAAGAATGTGTGGCCGTTTCAGCTGAGGAATATCCAAACAGAAACTCCAGGGCTGAAAAGGCACAGCAGGTTGAATGGGAAATGTGCAAGGGTGAGTGTGACAGCGACGGCAGGAAACCACAGGTGAATCGAAGAACGAGAAGACCGACTCAGACTCCACCCAGTTTGAAAACACACTTCTTAGCTGGAGGCAGGGAATAAAAGTAGAATGGAAATGGAAGTGAACCGAAGTTCAGTGCTGCTAAATTCCAGCCAGTTAATTGTCTTCTAAAAGACTCATCTCTATACAGTTCCCTCCCAGGCTGAGAGGAAAGCCACCTGTGATGGTTAATACTAACTCAGCTTGGCGAGGTCTAGCGTCACCTAGGAGACACACCTCTGGACATGGCTGTGCTCTGGATTAGGTTAACGGGAGTAGAAGGAGCTTGAGTGTGGCAGCGCCACTCTGTGGTCTGGAATCCCAGACTGAGTGAAAGGGAGAAAGCAAATGAGACAGGAGCTTCCTGACTTCAGATGCAGCGTGACCAGCTGCCTGCGGCTCCTGTCCCCGAACCTTCCACACCATGATGCACCATACCCCTGAACTCGGAGCCGGAGTAAATCTTTCCTCCCTTGAGTCCCTCTTGTTGGGTTTTTTGTCACAGCAATGAGAGAAGGAACTAATGCACCGCCTGAATTCAAAGCCGTGTGTATACTGACTGTCGTAAGGTCATTCCTCTTGTGCGGCCATGTGTCAGCTTTCTGTCCTTTCTTTCTCTCCCTCTTTCCTCCCCGTAGCTGGTGTTTCTTGCTCCCATGTGCTGTATTTGGGAACTGGTTAATGAAATGGGCGATGTTCTCTGACAGTGGTCATCATAGAAGGTTCTGTCCTTAGGTGGTTTGCTTTGGGGCATTTTCCTGTCATTGTCCACTATAATTTTCAGGGTTTTGCTGTTTCAAATCATAATGAGCCAGTTAGTTATCTTTAAAGCATAATTCTTAAGTTTGCGAATGTAAAATATTCATTACATTTTTTAAATGAGCTTATTTTAATTATCGATGCCCCTTGACACTCAGTTCTGTTTCTTTTGGCTTAAACTCCACAGGTGTTTCACCAAAACCAACAGTCCCCTTCCTGTGGTCCCAGTGCTGGCTTCCTATCCTCAGGATGGTCTGGAAATGAAGCCCCTCAGTGCCTTGAAGGTGCCTGTGTGTCCAGCTTCCACACTTCCTGATTGTGGCCAGTTACCTGAGGAGAGTCTCAAGGACAGTGTGGCACCAACACCTACCCAGCATACCTGCTGTCAGGACAATATAAGTGACATCAATTCTGATTCCACTGAAGATACAGCAGAATTCAGCAGAGGTACAGGGAGGTGTTTTTACTCATTAACTTTCTGGTCTCCAGTGGGCTAAGAACTATATCCAGAAAGTTTTCTATGGTCAGCTCACTGCTTAGAAGACGGGCTGGGAATGTTGGGTACTTCTAGAAAAGGTGAGGATGGGTAAGAGACTCTTGGGAATTCAATTATTATATCCTCCAGCCTGCACTGTGTCTCCCATCCAAGTACTAACCGAAGCTGACCCTGCTTAGCTTCTGGGATCAGATGAGGTCTTCAACATTCAGGATGGTATAGCAGTAAATCACTCTGGTTGCTAATCCCATTGGGATGTTATCTGAACAGGCTTGGGCTCATTAGTTCCAGAGCAGAGGACTTGCTGGGACAGTGCATTTAGTGAGCATTGGCCTAGCTTTCCTTTGAGTTAGTTGTAGGAACTATAATTTTTAAGGTACCCTTTTTTAGGGGCTCCTAAGAGGATCATTTTAATCTCAAATGACTTATATAGTAACTTAAGAGAATTCAGGTTTTTAAATGTACTCTGCTTTCTCAGATTCAAACCAAGCCTGAGTGGGACTTACTTCTGCATGTTTCTATTATTCGACATACTGTTTTCAGAAACTGCTGTGTGAAAACCATTTATTAGTTTGTAATGTGCCCAAATCTCCATGTTTTTCAGGAGACAGAAATGGCCATTCAGAAGCAGAGGACAACGTTTTAAGTTGGAATCCTCATATTTTGTCACCTGTCTTGGAGGACTGCCCTGAGAAGACAGCATGGTCTCCTGGCCTTCCTCTAGATGGGCTGTCAGTGGTCCTTCAGCAAGCCCAGGAGACCTGAGGAAGCATGCAGGCCTCTTCATGTTCCCATTGCAAGCCAGTAACTGCGCAATGCGGGCCTGGGGACACACTGTGTGAAGGACATTAATTCAAATCAGAGAAAATCATTATTTATTTTTTGTAGTAGTAATGTCGTGAATGTATCTTAAAATGTGTGCCCTTTTATATTATTTATGCCTTAAGTATTCCCTTTTTCATTTCTTCCTCCCCCTTGATACGACCCCCACCCACCCGTTTTATGTAGTTTCCAATCTGGAAAGCAGAGGGAACATGCTTTGTTTTCCAGAACCTTCTATGGCAGTAGGAACTTGTGTTGGGTCCCATCTGGCCTATTCAGTTGTAGGGAGGAAGATTGCCCAAGCCATTTGAAGTTTGCCACCAGTCACTCCCAGATAGAAAACTGTCACTTATCACATGTTATCAGACTTTCTGAGAACATTTAGAAATCAACCATAGTTGTGATCTCACATTTATAATAGCAAACCCAACTGACAATTTTTTTGACTGCCTTCCAGAAATGTACTGATATTGACTTATTTCCTCTCTATACCTGGGTACAAGTAGTGATAAATCTTTCGGGTAAAATCAGCCAGTGTTATGAACATGGAAGCATGGAAGGTCTGGTTGGATTATTGCATTATATAGAAAGGAAACCAGGTTCAGAAAGAAAATGAATGCCTTCATGGCCCACTGCTTTAATTGCATCAGTTTACAAAATGGTCGCCATGGGCTCTTTGCATTATTTGCAAGGGTATGTGCAAAAGTCAGACTTTTAAGGTGGTAGTTAAAGAGAAAGATGTTAGAATCTTAAAAAGATAGAGGAGGGCTGAAGGGACCGAGCTAAGTGAAGCCCTTTGTTCTGTTCCACAGTGCATGTAGTGCCACATGCTTGAAGACTGTCCATTTTGTCACTCCCAGCATGGACAGTATCCTAGAACATGTGAGTGAGCATGTGTGAGTCAGCCTTCTGCACTGAGGTAAAATACCTGAGATGATTAGCTTGTCCAGAGAAAAGGCTCCCGGTTGTAAAAGTTCCAGTTTGTGATCAAATGGACCTGCAGCTCTGGGCCTGTGCGCGGGGAACACATGATGGTGAGCATGCATGGCGGAGCAAAATAGCTTACACCATAAACCCGAGGCAAGGGAGAGTGAGAAGAGGAGCAGAGTGTACAAGTACCTCTAAGAGCATGTCTCCAGACCCGAAGGCCTCACACTCATCCCCAATGCTAGACTCTACCACCTCCTCAACATGCCACCTGGGGAACCAGGTCTCCAGCAAGTAGGCCTTTGGAAAATGGGATCCAAGCTGTAGCAGATGTCAGGGAAGACTAAGTCTGAAGAAAAGATTTAGGGGCATTTTCTGACAGTTTTTCTGGCCGCCATCATTGTGAGCGGTAACTCAGTCTATGGTCAGTGGGGTCCATGGATCACAGCTATTGTCTTCTGAGTGGTAAGAACATTGCAGTTGCCTTTGGAAGGCTTTTCTCCATGTGTGAAACAGAAACCCAGGTACTACAAATGCATGTCATAGCTTCAAGTAGGCCCTGATGTATCACTGCTCTGTTTTTGAATGGTGTATCCCTTAGGGGGAAAAATCAAAAATTATTCTCTATATGCAGAATCCAGCAATTCCAGGATACATTTTGTTTTAGTTTCCCGCAAATTGCAGTGGAAGAGAATAAGATACTGTGCTAATCAACTCTATGTAAATGTGTCAGTATTCCCTTACATATATGTGTATCTTTTATAAATAGGACTGTTAGTGGATATGTGCTGTTTCAGCAGGGCCACTATGCAAGTTACTCCTGGTAGAATGCAGTGAATAGGATTCTACAGCTGGTAGTGGGGCTGCTGTAGAAGCAAGTTCTATGACCTTGGGGTTCGTGTCTGTAGTGTAAGAGACCTGCAGTTAGTTAGAGGCAGTTAGCTGCAGCCCTTCTTTACATCTGTGACGAGAAAAGGACAAAGTCCTAGTTCACATGACATAGAAACCTACTATGTGTTTTGCCAGTTGAGTTAGAACAAAGCTGTCTTGTCTCAGAGGGGGTTTAGGGAAGCAGGAAGCAGATGTCTGTGGGCAGTCAGTTGTTCGTTGTGACTCACGAAGCAGAGGTGTGTCGGCATGAGCCTTAAGTCAGAACTGCTTTTAGAGATTGAATTTGACATGGGGCTTGCCCATGATGAAGAGAAAATGACTTTACCTTTAGGGCAATCTCATTGTGGACTGCTTTATTTATGATAGTAACGCTGTTTTAAGTGTTATCTCTTTTATTGTATTTTATTTATAAAAATGGCTCTATATATTGAGATATATAAATATAAATATAAATCTATAATTACCTTTATATTTAGGAGCTTGAGTTCTCCTTAGTGTGAGTTTCTCTGAATTTTTATGCCCTGCACAGTGATCCCGAAAGCGATCCCAGCAGGTGTCACTTCCCCAGGAATTAAGAGGCCATAGGAAAATATGGGGGTGGCGCGCATCCGTGGAGGAACTGCTGTGTACTAGACTCCATGTGCTAGTGTTATCTCATCCAGCCCCTCAACAAGCAGAGCAGGCTTGAAGTTCCCCGTCCACGTGTGAGCAAGAGCCTGCACTGGAACCGTTTACCTGGTCCATCACCCAAGCATCCCTTTCTCTGCTTTCTGGAAGTGTTACGGTTCACTCTCCATGGAACCAGTCCAGAACATGTGTTGTCCGCCCCTGCTGCGCTGTTTCTCTGCAAGGCTCCTGCTGCAGCTAGCGGGGCTTCCAAACTGGCAGAGCAGAGCCGAGTACGTCATCTGCAGGAGTCTCTCGTTGACGCCCTGCCCTAACCCTCCCCGCACTCCTGCCCTCTCCCTCCCCAGTGGAGGTTTGAACTTCAGCTGGCTCGATGGCCGTGAAGTTGGTAGGGCCTCTTCATGTTTTGGGTGGCTGTTTGCTTCTAGCATTAAACCTCCCCTCAGCCCGAGTGAATCACGTTGCCACATCCTGGTTGTGTTCTTCGATTATGTGTGGACTGCGGTTATAGGTGCTGTACAGGGTTCGGGTAAATTATTCTAAACTGTTGAGGTGATCTCATTGTCGAGTGGTTCTCTTTGTATTGACTGAATCTCTGAAGACCAAGGCATCGTACCATGCCGATCGTGGATGCCATTTCTCTCCACCAGCTCCAGGACCACCAAGCAACTGTTTGGAACTGCCCTTCGCCCGTATTGCTCGATCTTACAGCACTGATCCTGAGATGCATGTCTTGTACTATATTGAAAAAACGTTTTATTTTCCTTAAAGTTGTGATATTATGTTTGGAATTGTACATACTTTAAGTGATGTAGCTTTGACAGGTTTTATTTGGTTGATATGATTTTATATTAAAAGAGAATGCTGCTTTCACACACAGTAGCCCGTGAAGAGGGGTCGTCATGCACTCCTGTGTGTACAGTGTCCCTGTGGCTTGTGACTAGGGTGTGTAATGTCCTGTTTGGAGACTTTCCATAACCTCCATCAGTTGCTCTGCGAATCCCCATAAGCACTCAAGAGCCCAGCCATCTCTCTCTCATCCTCTCAGTCAGAATTGGGAGGGAGCAGGACTGTGGGCAGCTGTTTGCTAGGGAGGTTAGCATGGGGTAGGCAGGAGGATGGGGGAGAAGCGAGGTGGGAGGAAGTTCTTCCTCATAGCGTCTGTTACTGCAACCTCAGGATCCTTGAAGTGTGACCTCCAGGACAGGCTGTAGCACCTCTGAAGAAACTCATTTTACCACCTTAAGTAGTCAGAGTGTTTGCCCCCCCCACCAGAAAAGCAGCAGAACCCTGTCAGAGGTGGTCATTTTGTGTTTCATTTCCCGTACTTAAATAAACCACTTTAAACTCTTAGACCCAGTCCTGAGAGCTGTGAGGAAAGCCGAAACCCCGTTCTAATAAAGCCTAAGTGTGTGAGAACCAAGGAAGCTTAAGTTTCTCCCAGTTCTGTCTCCTGTCAGGCGCCACTCTCCCTGTTGCTGGCAGATCAGCACTTGGCTCTGCCGCTGTTTTCTTCTCATCCTCTGCGGAGGCAGCGCTGAGCCCGATTCTTCCAGTCAGCCAAACAAGCACTCGCTTGTGCTTCACCCAAATTTTACACACACACACACACACACACACACACACACACACACACACACAGCCAGTGACTCACACTGGCAGCTATCAGAGTGTGACTCTGGAACAGGCTCCATTCTCTGTCAGCCAGTTCCCCCAGGCCTGGTGGCTGGGTGTTGCTGAATACCTCTGCTGCCACAGATTCCAGAAGTCTGGCCAGTGCAAGGTCAGGGATGCCCCTAAGCTGCCTTTCAACAAAGGAAACACATACCTAGGCACCTGGTTCTTCCTGACAATAAAACATGGCCGCAGCAATCAGCTCAGAAGTTTGTAATAATCTGCTAGTCATTAGATATAATTGAGTTAGGGATTGCTCAATCGGTGTGTGTCTCCCCCACATCTCTTCCAGAAAGGGTTTAGCTGCCTCTTAGTTCCTGGTATCAGAGGCAATCCTGTACCGGTCTCGGCTGCTCTCAGATGCCCTCATGCTGTCTTCAGTTGTGTATTTTCCGCTATGCCACAGCTGGGTCAGGACTTCTTTTGTCATGTGAGGCACAGCAACTGGACTACGTACCATTTTCCAGCCCAGATACTGGATCAAAAGTAGTTGGTATCTGTGTGTTGGATGGGGAGTTGCCTCGTTGATTTTTTTTTTTTTTTTGGTTTTTACGAGACAGGGTTTCTCTGTATTGTTTTGGAGGCTGTCAGTCCAGCCTGGCCTCGAACTCACAGAGATCTGCCTGCCTCTGCCTCCCGAGTGCTGGGATTAAAGGCGTGCGCCACCACCGCCTGACACCTCGTTGATCTTTAAGGCTGATGGGATTGTCCCACCCTCGTTGCCTTCCCTCAGCCTGTTTGCAGTGTCACTGAACTCAGGTTGTTGCAGTCACTGTGATGGTGACATTCACTGGAGCATCAGGGGATTCCTGTACAGGGTCTGAACTTGAGGTGGTCGTTGCTGTTCCGGTGCCTACAAAGAGCACACGTGGGCAGAGGAGAGTAAATGGGGGTGGCGAGGCCGCTGTCAGGACAAGGCAGACGTGGAGCCCAGTGTTGGTCTGTGTGTCGTCATTGGCACAGGTGGTGCCTACCTGCTGGTCTCTCCGTGCTTTCCCTGGAGCCCCTTCGCGGCCGCCTGTGCTCCCTGAGAGAGGTGAGGCAGAGAAGAATGTTACGTTAGAGGCATCTGCGCCTTCCTAGCCTGCCTTTTCAATTCAGGAAAGTCTGGACCCCATAAAGATAACCTGTACACACACTCACATGGGAACAAGCAACCGACTGAGGCCTGTGGGAAGAAATGAAAGAACATGACTTGACTAGTGCAGCGTAGACTGCAGAACAGCCCTCCCCTTCCTAGTGGTGGGCTCTATGCAGAGCCTCAGGAACCTCAGGGGGATGGCCCAGAGCTTGAGGCTGACCGGGGTCTTGACCATCACAGGATGATGTCACAGCTGAGGAAGAGTCTAGATTCTCCTTTGGGTAGGTCTACACCTGGCTGCCCCTGGGGAGTCAAACAGCCCATCCTTTCAGAGTCCCACTCACAGGGCAATCTGTGTGGGTGCCGGGCAGCATACTGGAACACCAACAGAGAGGCTGCCAACGCCACCACCATCCCTGAGCTTGCAGCACCCAGGACAGCTGGGTAGGCACTGAAGGCTGGGTCCACTAGGAGGGGAGAGCACAGAGTGTATTAATTAGCCCCATCAGTGAACTTGGGCAACAGCGACTCACGAGGAACCGACATGGTACCCTGTGCATCCCAAAGGCTCTGCTACCTAGTGTGGAAGACCCAGCGAATGTGGAGCTGGGTTCTTTCCCATCAGAAGAGATGTTCTGGCTGCCTGGTGCTGATGGTTTTGATTCCCAGCCAAATCCCCAATTTCTGGCAGAAGATACGTAAGGCTACTTATCTTGGCATATCAAGCCTGAAGGAACTAGGAGGCCATAAAAGGAGGAATTCCCAGGACAGAGGGAGCAACAGGAAGCTGAGGCCTCCTATTCCTTGAAAGGTGAGACTGAGGCACAGAATGGGCTCCTCTTACACCCTCAGCATCACGTGCCTTCTCCAATTTCTTCAGATCGAAGCTGGATTAGGGGGTCTGCTCCCATGCCCAGGGCCCCCTGAGCTGCCCAGAGAGAGACAGTAAAGAGCAATGGGCGAGAAGGAATAGATGCACGCGTAGGCTACAGATGGAAACTAAGACTGGAGCAGGGCACCCTGTGAAGGGGAGCGTAGGGCAGGTTCCAGTTCTTTGGAGGGAAGGGTGAGTTCCTCCCTGCTGCCAGCCCAGCACCTGGTGTCTTCACCTCCGAAGGATGTCCTGCAGTGTGGTGATTCATAGCCAGGATGCGGAAGGCATAAAGGACGCCTGGGTCCAGCCCTCCCAGACGCCGGTCCCTGCTCTCTGGCTCGATGTCACTAGCTGCTACCTCCCAGGCACCAGCTTCTGAACTGGGGGCACTGGCCCTCTGCTGCACCAGGAAGCCCGTCAGGTTTCCAGGGCCATGGATGGCCCACTGCAGCTGCACCTCTCTCCGTTGTCGCCTGTAGGTCAGGCGGCTGATGGTGACGTTGGGAGGGGCCGGATACCCTGCAGGTGAGTGGAGATGGGGATACATATAGGCGTCTGCCTGGCAACAGCTATGTGGCTTTCTCCTGTGGACGGACAGTCTGCAGAGAGGAGGATGTACAGGATGTACAGGATGTACAGGATGTACTCTGTACATCCTGTACAGAGTACAGGATGGTGTGTGTATCCCTGAGCATGTGTAACCTCCATTTTCTCATTGATAAAAATGAGGGAGTAGCCGGGCGGTGGTGGCACACGCCTTTAATCCCAGCACTCGGGAGGCAGAGGCAGGCGGATCTCTGTGAGTTCGAGGCCGGGCTGGACCGACAGCCTCCGAAACAATACAGAGAAACCCTGTCTCGTAAAAACCAAAAAAATAAAAATAAAAAAAATGAGGGAGTATGGAGTTCTGTGTACCCATATTTAAGATTCCACCAGACTCATGCTTCCCTAACCAGTCTGGTCATGCTCTAGAAGGTGCCTAGGTTTTGGAGAAGGTAATTTTCAAAGCTTTCTGCAAAACCCTCCGCAGCCCTCGGTCGCCTATGTCCCTTGCCACAGGAGCACACACAGCCTTTACACTCACTCAGGACCTCCAGCAGCACACTCTGGCTGCTACTGCCCAAGGCATTGCGGGCCACACATTGGTAAGTGCCCCTGTGGTGTGCTGGGTCAGCATGTCGGACTTGAAGGTTCAAGTGGGTACCCTCAGGGTGTAGCAGGAATCCGTGAGTACTTGATTCTAATGGCTGCTGCTGGGGTCCCAGCCAGAGGAGATGAGCAGGCTGTGTGCCCTGCTGGAGAGCACAGCCCAGCCAGGCCTCTTCTCCCTCCAGGACTGACACTCGGGCTTCTGCCACTGCCAGCTGAGGGGCTTCTGCAGAGACAGAAGGTGATGCTGGAAAAGGGGCCGAGTGAATAGAGAGCAGGCGGCTCCCCCTACGTCACTCAGCCCTCCTGTCAAGACCTCTGATGTGGTCCACTGGATAAAGCAAGGGACACAGGTAGAGAGATCTTTGATACCCGAAACTCGGAAAGCCAAGACTACAGCGAGGCACCTCCCTTGTGCAAATGATAAAATGAGCACCGCAGCCCACTCCATGGTCTTCATGAACTAGATGGTCTTCACACCATCTAGTTCAGTGCTGCCAATGATGTCCAATCCCAAACCATAGCCTCCAGCATGTGTCCACTGCTCACTTGAAATAAGGCCAGGATGCATTGAGATATATGGTAAATTACAGATACACTGCATTTTCAGGTTAGGGTGAAAAAAGGTTAAATAGGTCATAAATAAAATTATTATATGAGAATGAATTGTAAAGATGTTATATATTTTATGTCTTCATACTTTTTTAATGTGGCAATTAAAATTACATATAGCTCACATTATATTCTTATTGGACAACACTGACCTTGACCAAACTCTCTCGTTTTATGGATTAAAAAGGGGGGATGGCAAAATGGCCCTGTGTGAAGGAGCAGGCCACCGAGCCTGACAACCTGAGTTCATATGGACTCCCCAGAATCCATATGGGAGAGGGAGAGCATCAACTTCTACACATTGTCCTCTGACTTCCACAGGCACAGAGTGGCAAGGGTGTACACACGCACGTGCACACACACACACACACACACACGTAAATAGTTTGAGCTCTGGAGAGAAAGTGAATCAGTCCCCCTTGACTCCCTTCCCAGCCCGGCACTGCCTACCTCCAGAGCCCCTAGTCCTGGTTCTGAAGGCTCCC